TTGTTTTATAGGTAAAAGGAAAAACTTTGCCGAGTTCTTGAAACAATATCTTGTAACAAGACCTGGTGATATCAAAACTATCGATGGCAAAATTATAGGTTTGTATATATATTATTAAAGTTTTCGATAGATTACCTGGATTTGGTCTGAGTTAGGATTTTTTTTTAGCCAGTGTCAAATTAAAATTGGGATTTTTTACCTTGGATCAAATTTCAATCCATGAAATCGACCTTTGTGTACTAGGTAGTTTACATGATCGAAATGCATGTATTTTGAAGTTTTCATAATTTGGATATATTTGATTAATACTTTTTAGTCAAAATTTTAAACTACAAAGATCGATTTCATTGGCCCAAATCTAACCTAGTCAGGTCGAGATAAATATGGCGTGGCTGGTTCAGATTTGGTTCTATTTAGCATTTAATTGAATTATATTCTGTAGAGTTCCAATCCATTAACCGTTTATCCATATATCTGTAATCTGTTATCCAAGTATCCGATCTGAACTTATCCGGATATCCAATTTATCCGAATATTTGTCGGATTATCCGGATATCAATAGCAAACGGATATCCGGATATGGATAAATGGATGACGGATTTATCCGGATTGAAACTCTAATATGATGAAATGATTTATAATATATATTTATTTATTTTGTTTTGCCTTTTTTTTTAATGCTAATAAGGCCAGCACTGTGGACTATTTGCATATACTATTGGCCAATGCGCTCATATAAATTATGGCACCAGTCGGCATGCATTATTTATTATGCTTATTTTGCATTTTTAGTTATTTAGTAAACATTGACTGTTTTGTAGATGGTTCGTTCAGGATCGTAATACTAAAGATAATACTTTAATTGTTGTTCCGGAATCGTATGATTTTTTATTATTATTTATTTTACTTTAATGTTAAATCTACGGCATTTACTAATTTTGAATGTTTTTTTATAGAAATAATCCACTTTTATTTTCACAAAGCCTTGTTGCCAAGAATTGGACTTGGTATTTACCTCCTGAAAAAATTAATAATGGTGGGATTAAAAATACGCAATTAAATGGGATGGTCGGTCCTGAAAGACTGAATAAAAACCATTATTTTAACCGACCTCACAGTTTTTCGGTTCCGGTTTTGACCAGTCCGAACCGGTCTTCGCAAATAATTAACCGCTTATTCGATGGCCAATGTCATATGATTGAATCAATAAGATGGTTAGAGATTTGGACCATCTTTGAGACCGAGACTGGACTGAAAAAATTAATGGACCAATTTTATTAAGAACTGAGATTGACCGAACCATCTCTAATGTAATTAAATTGTTTTTTTATTCAACAGTTTTTCTTTTAAATTTATATCAAATTTTTAGATATTAAGCTACTAGCTCAGATAAGATACCGTCAATCTCCAGGTAATAACATTTTGTTTTCTTACCCGAATTTTTATTTTATTTAAGACGATATTTTATTTTATAGTTCCATGTAATGTGATACCAAGGTAAATTGACGAAATTATAAGTGTTTATATATGTAATATATAAATGTTAATATTAATATTTTAATATAGATCAAATGGTAAATATGTTGTCGAATTTGAAACACCACAAAGAGCCATTGCACCCGGCCAGGTAATAAAAATTAATCAACATATATACATTTTAATTCTGTTTTTTAAATTGTTAATAAGTACAATTTTTATTTAGATTGTAGTTATTTGGAATGACAATTGGTGTCTGGGAAGTGGTATTATTGAGTATGCATTTTAAGTATTTAGGGTAAATAATATTATAAATTGATCGTTAAGAAATTTTTTATTAAAGATTAAATAAACTTATTTATTATTAAAAATTGGTTTTATCTACTATTTTCCATCATGAAATTTAACTATTTTCACTATTAGTCAAAATTGATTATGCAATATTGTTATGTTTATAAGGTTTATAAAGCTTAAGTCATGTGAAAGGCGGTGGAAAATAGTAAATTTCCACGTGGAAAGAAGCGTTCCCTATTTTTATTATAACTTGTAATTTAATATTGTAGCATTGAATAACTTTATATTGTATGCAAATATATATATTTTTATATTTCACTAATTTATATGCATTACTTGAATGTGTGCTAGGTTTGTGGCACAGCAAAAATTCTTTAATGCTCATTTATGTTATAGTTTGGGTTAGGATTACGGGTTAAAAGAATGTAGTTCATATAGTAAAATTGCCCAACGAAAACTCTATATTAAGCACCAAAAAGTGGATTCTTATGTAGAATTTCGAGAAATAAGCGATTTTTGACAATACGGGAGTACGTTTAAAGCCGTGTGCAGTCATACGTTTTTGACTTTTTAATTAGAGTTAGGGTAAGGTTTAGTATGGGGTTTAAGGTGAGGGTCGGTCTTATAGTAAAATTGCCTCCCCGACATCTTTTATTAATGCCCCAAGGTAGCTTTATACGCTCGTTTCTTGTATTTTTGACGTTTTTCTTCGTCGGGCTGATCCGTGTCGATCAAAACAAACAATTTTATTAGCTCAATGACTCGGCTTTAGGTCTTCGCCACCAAAATTCTACGGAACGTGATCGCACCAAAAAATCTTTTAAGTTCGTTTAAGATAGGGTTTGGGTCTATGTTAAAGTTATAATTTTAGGGTAATAATATTAAAATCGGTCAAGAAAATTTTTTTGTTAATGTGCGAAAGGTGGTTTCCTATGCAGTATGCTCGAGAAATAAGCGATTTTTGACAAAACGAACGTTTGTTTTGAATTTTCCTGATCGTGTTACATTAAACCCCGAATAATACTAACAGAGGTTATATGTGAAAATGGTTAAAATAAGTCAAAAATTTAAAAAAACTGCGATTAAAAAATTTTTAACCAATCAAAACTTAAGAAAAGTGGATAAAGCAGCAATATAACCTCTGTTAGTATTATTCGGGGTCCTGTTACATTACGCACGTCTGAAATGTGTGCCAGTTTGTGGCCAACAAAAACCTTTAAAGTTCGTTAATGTTAGGTTAGTGTTTATAATAAGGTTAGAGATTAGATAATTATATAGTAAAATCGCTCAAGAAAAACTTTTGTTAGAGCACTAAAGCTGGTTTCTTACACAGATTCTCGAGCAATAAGCAATTTTTGACAAAACGAACGTTTGTTTTGAATTTTCCTGATCGTTTAGACAATACCTGGCACTAGGGTTTAGGGCACGGGAAAAAATTTGGGCATGCCCATATGGGTATCTACGGTTCTAGTTTACCTGAACTTATTGGCAAATTAAATAACTTTGAACATCACATGACAAGGGCATGCTCTTTGGACTTGAGGAATGCTCTAGGGGCATGCCCCATGCCCCTGTGCCCTGAACCCTACCTGGCACATATTTCAGACGTGTTTATAGCACACCTGATCTTGAATATGATTGGTTTGTGCCACAAAAATATCACATGTCTATTGAATTTTGGTGGTAATACTGGGGTAGTTGAATTACCAAACAAGACAAAAACTAGGGATTGGACCCGGGTAGAAATTGTTACTATACGATTACCCGAAATATATAATAACTTACCCGGATAACCCGGGTAATTTAATAATACCCGGGTAAAGATTTTCTCAACGGGTCCAATCTCTAACAAAAACAACGAAAAAAAGTAAATAACACAAAAATAAAGAAAATGAATGTCTTAGAGTAATAATAAAAAATATCGTGAAGGCAATTTACTTATAACTACTGCCCTAACCTTAATCTCTAACTTTTATTCTAATTTAACTAAATAATTAACAAACCTTCCTTATATTTGGGATGATTTTATCTGTAAAAAATTACTTCAAAAATTACTTTAACCTGATCTGTGCAAATAAATTGATAATTTGATTGGATAATCAATATTTACTAAGTCATATAAATATTGAAAATAATTATAAATAAAATTTTATAATAACAAATATTAAATATATTAAACTTTTCTAATTACAGTTTTGTTTTCTTAAAATAAACTATATATTTAAAAGTTTTTTAAATACAGAAATATGTGTTTAGCAAATATAAATATATATTATTTTACTTGAAATATATTTAGCTTAGTTAACTAACTTATTTTGATTTATTCTACTATTTAAGAAGTTTTAAAAAAAATAATTTAATATTGGTTCAGACTGCAGATAAATTAGTCTAAGTTTCTTTTCTTGCTATTTTAGAATATAAAATTTAAATAGATTTTTTTCTTTGTAAAGATTTTTTTTTCATTGTAAAAGAATTAAATTAAATTTTAATAAAGTCAAAGATATAGTCTTACTATTAATATTCAAAAAAAAAAAGATTTAATATTTTGTTTTTTTTTTAATTCAGCAGTTTTGTTTTTAATATTTATTAAAAATAACAGAAATTTTATTAATAAAAGATACAATTTTCTATACTATATTTTATACTAGTAAAAATCAACACAAGTTAAACCCAAGAACAACCTACTTAGTAGCAATTAGTTTTATATTAGATCCTCAACTTACTAAGAATTTAAGCCCTTTGATTATTAGTTCTAGCAGCTATATCATTTTGTCAAAAGAGCTAAATTAACAAAAATACAAATACAAAAAAAAAACAGAAGTAAAAAGAAATACAATAAAAGATACAAACCAGAAAAAAAAAGATAAAGAGATATCAAAAACAAAACAAAAAAAAATTGTCTTTTTATATTCTTAATAAACTCTTTCTGATGATCCTCTGGCCAACAACAATTAAAACTAAATTACAGAAAAACAATATAGAAACTTTCAAAACAGATACTATTCTTAGTTTTAACTTGAGTAAACTGTTGTTAACAAAGCTTAAAAAATATGAAACATCAAGAAGCAGGCATTAAATAGATAATTTTTTTTGGATTAAGCTTTTGTTTCTTTGTGCAGACTTTCTGGGATATTTGGCATCCAAACCAGAAGGGTTATTTTAAAAACAAGTTTATTTAGAGTAGGTTGTTGTTAATGAAATCTAAAAGATGTGAAATACTGAAAAGCAGATGTAACTAAGATGTTTTTCTTGTGTTAAACTTTTGATTTTCTTTAGGTGAATTTTTCAAGATATTTGGCATTCAAACTAGAAGGTTTATTTTGGAAACAAGTTTTCTGAAATAGTAGAAGTCTATAGAAACATATATACAACTGTAAAATTTACAAAAGAAACTTATACTCTATTGTTGGCTTACTACTTTTTTTCAAAACTATTTTTGTAAAAAGTGAATATTGTAGCTTATCGCCTCCAAAAGATCAATATTACATGAACCAAAACAGTCAGCATTATTTATTTTTCAAATCAAATAAATAACAACAAACATGTATAGTAATTCGTATGTATCTTGAATACAAAATATTTATACAAACAATGCTCTGAAATAATATCTAATCTCTTTATAAATCCAGTTGATGAAGTTTTTCTACAAGGTTTTTTACTTTGATATACTAAGTAGATAAACTTAGAGTAGAAATTAGTTTATTTAGTAGTATGTAATTTTTACAAGCCTTTTACAGACTTATAATTATGGTATTAGGTTATACAATTTTCTTTTCTGTTTTTTTTATTACTTTCTTACCTTCTTTATTTCTTGTTTGTATTTATTTTATCGTAGACCCTATACCTTTATATTATTTTTGTTAGTATTTCTTTTTGTTTTTTACTACTTAATGTGGGATGTTAGTCTTAGCTAAAGATCAAAGAGATCAAATCCTCAGTAAATTGAGAACCTGATGTGAAGCAAAATAGTTACTTTAACAGATCGCACTTGGGCCATTTGGTTGAGTGAGTCTTTATTAGAATAGAATATAGTACAAAAAAATTATATCAGAATCACTAGCCAAAAAAATAGTTTTTTGATATTTCTATATTAATAATAAAGGCAAGATCATCTAAAATAATAAAAAAATTATCTATTCTAACAATCACTATTATGAGCCTGTGAAAGTTTATAAAAATTATATATTATTAAATAAACTAGTTTCTACTTTATATTTATTAAAATAGTATATAAAAGTTAAAAACTATTAGAAAAATTTTACTAACTAGAAATATATAAGGGTTTGTACTTGATTCTAATCTTAAAGCATTGTTTGATCAAATTATTATATTTAAGATATATATTTTAAAATATTTGTTATTCTGTTATATTGATTGGAAAGTATAGTCAGACCTTATTATAATCATATCCTATATAGTTACATCTTTATTTAAGTACCCAATTTTGTGTGATAAATTTAAAATATAGTAAAAAACTTTATTATAGTTACAAATCACTTATAATTACTATCACTTTAAAATCTAATTTTTAAATCAAATTTATTAATAAAAAAATCTCTTTATAATCACTAATTTATTAATTAAAAGGTTTTTTGATTAAATAATCATTTTTGAGACTCTAAATAAAGTTGTAGAGCTTATTAAGACAAATTTAATAGTAGTTAAATCATTAAAATCTGCCTAGTAGATACTGAGATATCTTTGAAAAACATTTTGCCAACTATAGAAAAATTCTTTATATTGTTAACAAAGAATTTATATAGTTGACAAAACATTTTTCAAAGATATCTTAGCATCTACTGGCCCAATTTCGATGATTTAACTACCATTAGATTCATATTAATAAGTTCTACAACTTTACTTAGAGACTCAAAGAGTTAACTTAATACAAAAAAACTTTTATATGTAGGACAATTATGATTAATTAATTATCAATTAATTATTAATTAGCTGAAGATCATGTGATATTAATCTGATATTTGTTTATAGTCACACCTCTATACAATTCACAAAATAGAGTGCGACGGACTTGGTGATTATAGAGAGATGCAACTATATATATAATATTGATCTTTTGAAAAAAGTAAACTAAATATCTACTTTTTGCAAAATTTTTTAAAAAAAAGTAAGAGGCTAATAAGAATATATAAGATTTTTCTTGTAGGTTTTATAGTTGTATAGTTTAGTCTCTTAGTTTCTACTAAATATTCTTAACCAAAGACTTAAAGTGATATTGCTTTTAAAATATCCTTTTAGTTTACACAAGTTCAATAAATACATAAAGGATATATAACAGGATCCCTATATTATCCCGATATCTATTCTTTATGTATCCACTCTTAACCTAATTTTTTACAATTATTTGGCAGATCTATAGTAACATAAAGGATGAATACTGGTACAACATAAAAGATAAATATTAAATAAATAAAGAGTACCTATTAATATCCTGATATCGATATTTTTTATGATAATTATATATTTGTTTTGCTGCATATATTGAAAGTATAAAAGCTAAATATCAGTAAATTCAAAATAGCAATTAGCTAAATAAAGGGTATCTACTTATCTCCTGATATCTATCTTTTATATATCTTTACTTAACCTGGTTTGCTATAGTTATTTGGTAGATCTATAGTAATATAAAAGATGAATACTGATACAAAATAAAAAGATAAATATTAGATAAATAAAGGGTATCTATTAATATCCTGATATTGATCTTTTATTTGATAATTATATACCTGGTTGCTACATGTGCTTGGCAGATCTATAGCAGTATAAAAGTTAAATATCGGGAGTATGAAAATAAATATTGGCTAAATAACAGGTATTTTTTATTATCCCAATATAGATATTTTATATAAAAATTATATATCCATTTTGCTACCAATATTAATGACTATAGTAACATAAAAGGTAAATAATAGTATATGCAAAAATGAATATCAGTTAAATAAAGGATATATTATAGATTTATATATACCACAATTATTTTACTAAAACTAGTTTTATATCAGTATCAGATTATTAAAACTTATTAGTATAATCAATAAACAATATAACTATTTTATAAATTCATATAAAATTTATATAAAATAAAAATTTTTATTTAAAAATACATATATATACAAATTTTACATAAATATCTATTCTAATTTCTAAAAATAAAACTAAATATATAAAACAAAACACTAATCAAAAAACAAAATCACTAATAAAAGAAATTGTAAAGCTAAACACTAACCCAAAACAAAGATATTAGTAAGCGAAGTACTGACACAAAAAGAAGACACTAGTAAAAGAGACAATCATAGAGCCTAACACCAACCAAAAGCAATGACACCAGTAAGTTACAATTGTAAAATGAAGTACTGACCCGAAACAAAATACTGGCAAAAGAAACAATTGTAAAACAAAATACTAACCTGAAACAAAATACTGGCGAAAAAAACAATTGTAAAATGAAGTACTGACCTGAAATGAAGATATCAGCAAAAGAGATAATTGTAAAGCAAAGTACTGACCCGAAATGAAAATATCAGCAAAAGAGACGATTGTAAAGTGAAGTACTGATCTAAAATAAAAATTTCAGTATTAGAGCCAATTGTAAAGCAAAGTACTGATCTAAAATAAAATACCGGCGAAAGAGATAATTGTAAAGTGAAGTACTGATCTAAAAAAAAA